CTCCCAAAGGCGTGGGATTTCAGGCTGGGCCCCCGGGCCCGGCTCTTTTTTTTTTTTTTTCTAGACCGTATTCCTGTTGCTTAATTTTCAAACATTTTAGATCAGTAGATGACAGACATTTTTTTTGTAAAGGGCCAAATAGTAAATATTTTAGACTCTGCAGGCGTAGACTCTGTCACAACTGCTCAGCTCTGCTATTGTAGTGGAAAACTAGCCATGGATAATAGAAAAACAAGTGAATGTGACTGTGCTTCTATAAAATTTAATACAGACACAGGCAGCAGGCCAAATTTGGCCTGTTGGTCATAACTTGTACATCTTTGATCTAAGTGCTTTGTGTTACTTGAGGTAGTAGTTGATGAGTATTATTACCTACCAGATTTGAATGTTGAAATAACTTTGTTTCCATGACCACTATACTTTCTCTTGTAGTTTATTCTTCTTTATATTGTCTCATGAAGTTTAATTGAACAGGATGAAAAGAGAATTCATATAGTACAATTACATACAACCCTTCTCTTTCTAATTTTTGAAAAAAATATTATCCCCATGGGAGATTTTTGTGGCATTTTTTTTTTCCTCTCATAAATATTTGGTTGGGGACAATCTTTTTTTTTTTTTTTTTTTGTGTTGGAGTCTCACTCTGTCACCCAGACTGGAGTGCAGTGTCTGCTCCCGGGCACTGCAACCTCAACTTGCTGGGCTCCGGTGATCCTTCCGTCTCAGTCTTCCAAGTAGCTGGAACTACAGGTGTGCGCTACCACACCTGGCTAATTTTTTTTTCTTTATTGTAAAGATGAGGTCTCGCCAAGTTGCTCAGGTGGGTCTCGAACCCATGGGCTCAGGCAATCCACTCACCTCAGCCGCCCAAAGTGCGGGATTGCAGGCTGAGCCACCGAGCCCGTCGGGGACAATCTTAATGAAATTACATAGGTCATATACTTAGTATATGGTCATCTTTCATTGCAAACCCCTAAACAATATGAAATAAAACATAAAGTTCTGAAAATCAAGGACAGTTTGGGAGCCATGTTAATAGTGTTCCTTTTCTAAGTACCTTGTATGTGTCCTTTGTCCTCTTGTTTTTCAGTAAATGTGAGTCTTGTTAGGTTATAGAGGTAAATGTCTGGGATTATGTATATATGTATTAGTTGTTACTTTTAATACTCCTGAACTTCAATTTTTGAAAAAATATTTTTCAGATAAATGATCTTAAAATGATTGATGAGCCAATGGAAGAGGAAGAAGCAGATTTTTGCCATGTAAGTATTCATGTTAATTTATTAAGCCTTGTTTTTATTGTATCAGGAAAGTCAATAAAGGGAAAGGAAAAAAGTTCCTGTCAATTAAAGAAACTTATTCAGGTAAGTTTGTAATAAGCAAATGCAATTACTTAATAAATTAACTATAATTAAAGATATAGAACCAGATTTTCCTATCGGAAAGTCTTATGCATGAATTTTTAAATGAATAGTCGTATTGAAATATAATTTACATATCATAAACTTAATCCATTTTAAGTGTAATGGATGCAGCTTTTACTTTCTGGTATATGAGTAACAGAATTACTTAAATAGCTTAATCTTATGCTTTTGCTGTGCTGTTTTTATACAGTGAAGCAATAGCTTTGTGGCAAAAAAGAATCAAATAATAAGAGATTTAAATTCCTTGCTAAAAAAATGGAATTTATTTATGAAAAATTGTGTATTTATTCTTACATGTTTAAACTTCTCTCACCTTCAAAGTACTCTAATTGATGTAATACGCCTATCGAAATACATTTTTCACTACTCAAAAGAGTTTTTGGACTCATCAATTTTGATGTCTTTAATGCTCTTGGCATTTTTTATTTCACCTCTTCCACATTAGCAAAATGTTTCCCTTTGAGGGCTTTGGTCATCTGGGGAAATAAAAGTTCCTTGGGGTGAGATTGGGTGAATAGGGAGGGTGGGACATAGGGGTCATGCTGTTTTTGGTCAAAATCTGAACACTCAGTGAGTGTGTACAGGTGCATAATCATGGTGAAAGATCCAGTCATCTGTTTGCCACAACTCAGGACATTTCTTCTACAAATCATGAAATAACTTTCTTAGAACTTCAAGATACAACTTTTGGTTGACTGTTTGATCTACAGGAACAAATTCTGAGTATACTATGAGTGGTTTGCCCTCCAAATGATAATTCCAGGATTTTTTGGGTCCTCCTCATACAAGATCTGATTTTCAGAAATTGTCCTTAAGACTTTCAGGAGGGTCTGACTAAATAAGCATTTTCATTTATGTTATTGTATGATTGTTGTTTCTATAGATATTTTTGTAGCGTTATATGCCTTTATAGCTTGAAGGAGCCTCAGAGATAATATTGTGTAAATACTTTTACTGTATAACAAATTAGTCCCCTGAAACAGGAAAAGGCTGTGATTTATACTAGGTGATAAGACTAGCAAGTAGCAGACTCAAGACTTATGACAGTGTGCCTCCTGTTAGGTCAGCTGTATTATGTAGACCCAAAGAAGTAGAAAATAAGGAGATCACTATCTTTTTTCTATTTAGTTGTGGATAAAATCAACCTTGATGTCTTTCCCCCCATGAAACTTGTTTATAAGTTGATTTATTTCAGATAGAAATCAGCAGAGGTATATAAATTGGGTTTATCCAAGACTCACCTTTGAAATGTTCTATATAACTACTTCTGCAGGTGGTGACCATGTAACAACATTGTCAGTTCTGATTGACAAGATGGAAGATACAATGTTGTTATTTTAGCTTTTGCAATTTATGTAATATTAATAATATATTTTAATTTTCAATATAATTAAGTGTAAACTATCAAAATCAATGTGAAATGTATCTACAACTCATGGAATAAGAGGCATAATAATATTTATGTTACTAATTTAAAAAAAGGAGTATAAGGAACTACAAATGGCAGTGGAAAAAACTACCTTATTATATTTTAGCATTAATAAATTAACAAGTAACTACAAACGACCATGACCTATGCCACAGGGGAAAGGAAAAAATACACATGTACACATACATGTGTATTTGTGTCTATATATGTATATGTGTAATCAACATAAACTTATATACATAGGATGATTGTCTAAAATTTATCTTTATAATTCTAGTAGAAGATAAGTCAGGAAGTACAAAATATACAGTGCTAGATGTTAATATGATTTACCTTATACAATCAACTTCAGTGGCTAGAAGGTGGAGCCTGAGGTTTTGGAGAATACGAAACCTAGAATCACTTCCAGGGATTTGATTTGGTTTGTGGCCTGAGTTATCGGGACTTAAACTTATGTGCTTTTGTTGTGTTATGGTTAAAGTACTCAATTTGTGTTAGTAAAGCTATACTTATGTGAGTGATAAGCAACACTAACCATATAAATTTGCACCCTTTTAGAATGTTTTTGTACATAGACTTTTTTTTTGGTTGTGATTGCTTATTCCAGTGTGATGCTGGCAGTTTTTGTGGTTGGCTTTTTTTGTTGTTTTAAAATAATGTAGTATTGTAGAGTTTGCTTCATGATGCATAGATTATTTAAACAGTGTTCCTTTTTTTTTTTTTTTGAGTTGGAGTCTCACTGTGT